TGTCCTGCCTGTCTGGCAGGCTGTTGGTATTCGTTCTCTGGGCCGCTCTCATGGCCACCTGGAGAGTTCTCAGACTCTCCAAATACAGTTTCTCTGATACGGAAACAAGTACTACTTCATCAGGCTTACTTAATAACGAATAATACAAAATGAATAAAAAGTAATCATCCACAGTAGACTTTGTAGATATGAGCTCATAACACCCGTGAGCCTCCTCTCCAGGCTTGCCCAGCTGATTCTCACAATTGTTTTCTGCAAAGTTGGGCTCCTCAGATACAGGATTCTAGATCAGTGAGATCAGCAACTCCTGTTTCTCTTCTATATTTTGAAAGTAGTCAGGCACACTGATGAAAATCTGATCATTTTAACCTGGTTCTCAAAGAGCTGGGCCAATGTGGGGGCACCATCTGTCCAACTGCCCCACGAAAGATTGATAAGGAGAAGGGGAGATGAAAGGGAGAGATGCCAGGACCACCAGTGTCCGGAAGGAGTGTTGAAAGATTCCTCTGGCTTTTGGGTAGAAAAAGTGGGCTGGAGGATTGTGGAGGAAACAAGGTGGTGGTTGCAGAGTCCATGGATGCTGTCCTATGGGGCAGTGGTGGCCCATGCAAGGGCGGACGTGGTGTGGGTAGGGAAGCAGCTAGACTTAGCCTTCATCAGAAGCAGAGTCACAGGGCGAGGTGTTAGACCCAAGACTTTATGGTACGTTAATGAACGTAGTAATTAGTGTTTACACTCTACACCTGACTTTGCTAAGGCATGAAGTTTATTAGTTCTGGTGGCTACTGCTGCTACCACGGTGGATTGCTGTTTCTAAATTAAAACTATTCTTTACCCCAGGGGCAAGAAATCCAAGTGTTCTGAGATTAAAATCTACATGTACTTAGCAGTGAGCATGCGATCCCCTCTCATTACTTTATTTATCAAACAAAGATAAACCTGGAGATTTGTTTATATACTCTGCAATTTTCACAAAAAAAAAAAAAACCCACAGATCTCCACATCAAAAACTTAAGTATTTCTCAGGGGACACTAAGAAAGTAAATCAACTTGTTGCTTTTATTTACTCCATCAGCAGTACTTTATAGTCCCCGGCAGCTCTGCATGAAGTAAGACCGGCTCTGCCGTTCCGAGCTGTAAAAGCGATTGGAGGGTTTGTGGTTGCGTTGCACATGGTCTGCTTGTTCACCTGGTTTATGTGAGCATTTTATCATTCACTTCAGACTTCCTAGAGCTTAATCTGTTACCATTTAGAGGAACTCACGTGCAAAAGCTTCATTAAAATCTTAGGATGTGCCAGTTTAGCCTGAAGCCGATGGTGCCACTGAAAGTTCTGATACTTTTGTCAGAGGAAGGAAGTATGGGAACCTGGGCTTGGATCGGTCATCCGAATTCAGATACGTTCCCACTGTCATCTCGGGCTGTTGTTTGCCCTGCTTCTGCTGAGCCTTGGTCTTCTGAGCTATCCTCACAGGTTTCCAGGAACTCAAGCGCTCAGAAATATCTTACTGAGAATTCGAAAATATCGAGGCATTTAATTTTGTGTGGGTGTAGAGTGTTTTATGACTCCTTAAGTTTTGAGGACCAGCAGAATGGAGAAGGATACTGTGTTCCACAGCATGCTAGTTATAAATGTTTGTTTTTATTGCACATGATGTAACCAGAGTGGAAAAAGCCACAGCAATAATAATTGTTGATATAATCTTGGCTTAGAGGAAGGGGCACACGGGGAGTGGGGAGAACAGCAGAAGAGAAAAAAGTCTGTTACCAATTATAGCCAAGTTATGATCGTTAAAAACTGCATATATGAATAATAATAAGACGTTCTGCTAACTTAATTGAAAGGGAACAAACTTCTGTCTCCTCGGGTACTGGAGGAGGGAGAATTCTTCCTGCACACTTTGCTTGAAAGCTGAATTAGTTTGCTCTGTGAATCCCCTCATTCCTGTCCTCACAGAGTGCTAGTTGGCCATGTTGAAACCATCCATGTCCTCAGCTTGGTTGCACCTTGCCAGCTGGAGCCTCTCTGTCTCTGTCCTGTCCCTTTGTCCTGCTGCTCTTGTTGCCCCCACCTCCTTTCCCGTAGCCGAGGAAGGAACTTGTTGACCATGGTTTCTCTGAGGAAGCAGCGACTCCTCTGCAGGTGCCCCATCGTGGTCAGCTCCCAGCAAGATGAGTCGCAGGAAAGCACACAGCTAAATCAGACAGGGATCAGCAGCTGCTGCCAAAGGCAAAGGGGAAAACAACAACAATACTCGCGGATTTCCAGGAATGGGGATTATTGGTAGTCTGCTCTTGACAAACTAAGCTGTGATTGGGAGCCGAGCACCCTCTCAGTTCCTCCCATTTGCTGCAGGAGTGTGGCAAACGGGGTTGTTGGGCTTGTAGAGGTCAGCCTGCTAATTGTAGATAGAGTGGACAAATAGGCTCACTCCCTAGAGGCGGGAACACCGGCCATTTGTCATTCCCGGCTCCAGCATAAGCAGGACACCAAAGTACGCGGAGGATGCTCAGTTTTGGAGGAAAACGAGAGAAAAGTACAGAGACAGGCCAAAGGAATTAGAGAAAGCCTCATCCTACTGCTGGGGTTTGATAAGCGTCTCTTTAGGGCCCATGTGTGCCAGCTTGGTCCACAGCTTGCAGTTCTAGTGGGAGAGAGTTAGATCTGGGGCAGGCTGGGCCTTGATGAGGGTACTGGGTCTCCAGTCCCATTCTGTTTCTCTATTTGTTTCTTGGCTGTCGGGAAGCGAGTGGTTCCCTTTGTCACCCTTCCTTTCCCTGGCGTGCCTTGATACAGGCTCAAAGTGACAGGGCCACTCAGTCATGCCTGAAACTTCCGAAGCTGTGAGCCAAAGCCAGTCTTCTCACTCGTGATCTTATTGTTGCAGGTGTCCGGCACTGCGGTGACAGGAAGCTGCTAACCCTACTGAGAATGTTAGTGTTAAGTTGTTGTGATTTTCCTCCCACTACCCCTTCTCCCAACCTCTGGCTTTGCCCTTGTGCTTTTTGAGCTGGTCGTGGGGTTGAAGTGTAAACAAAGATGACTGAGAACAAACCTAGCTCCGTGGACAGGTCTGCACATGGATACCCTAGATAACCTTAGTGCACTCGGCGAGAGCAGCCGCTGGTGAGTACCAAGCAGAAGTTTCCCAGAGCTTCTGAGAAAAGTGGCCCTGTGGGTTTGCGGAGGCCAAGAACCGGGTATGCTTGTTTACACACACTCATTCCTGTACCCAAGGCGTGCCAGGCGTCCTGTTGGGAACTGAGAATAAAATGGGGAACATGTGCAGACATGACCCCATCTTCAGGGAGCTTGTGTGCTAACGGAGACAGAAGACAGGCATGCGAAGCCAAGAGCCTCGGGCTGTAAGGAGGGCGGAGAAGGAAGTAATGCAGGCAGTAACTGGGGAACCACCTTCACATGGGCTGCCTTGGGAAGATTCCTTGAACACAGATATTTCAGGAATTATCTGAGGGCTAACAGGGAGCCAGTCTGGGAAGAAAGGGAAGAGTGTTTTAGTCAGAGGGAGCACCATGTGTCGGAGATCTGAGAGCCGTGTCTGCTCCATGACATCGTATGAGGTCAGGCTGGTGGAACATGGTAGGGTTTTCAAGATGAACCCAAAAGATGGTCTGGAACCTTCAACACAGCTGGGTTTCAGCTTAGCTTAAGTGAGTGTCATTGAAAGGGATTGTTGTGCTGAGTTCTTATATTCAAAAGTTCAACCTTTGATCTCTGTAGAATATATGTTAGAGTAGAAGTATGGAAATTATTACAAATGCCTCTTATATATATGTGTGTGTGTCCATGTGTGTGTGTACATGTGTGTGTGTGTATGTGTGTGTGTATGTATACATATATATCTGTATATGAAGGAAATAGAGAATGAGGAACTTGGGTTAGAAGGTGTAATGAACAAAGCGATATTTATCTGATCTTTTAGGAATGATTGAAATTTTGACAAGCAGGCTTGGAGAAAAGAGGTTTCTGGTGAGGGGCGGGGTGACCAAGTGAGGGGCCTAGAGGCAGGAGGCAAATTTGGAAGTGGGCCAGCATGAAACTACTGTGGGGACAGCAAGTACCAGCAAGGAAAATGCAGGTTTCTGCTCAGTTATACGCGAGGTTACACTTTTAGGGGTTTGAGTAATAAATCTAGGAGGGGCTTTTAAAAAATTTTTTCTAGGCCCAGTTGATTCACTGGGCGTGTGCTCTGGTGTTTGTTTTAATTTGATTTAAAATGAGCTAGATCCATAGAGCCACTCTGTCTCTCAGATGCCTAGTGTGGGGATCGTCATATAATTTCCTCTCCTGTGTAGTCTACAGAATTACGTTGAGCCAAGTTGGGCATGGTGGTATCTGAGGCAGGAGAATGATCATGAGTTCAAGGCTAGCTAGGTTATCATGAAAAAATCCTGTCTTAAAGAAACAAACAAAACCACCAGAACAACAAAAAGGAAAAGAAGCCAAGCCAGGCGATGGGTGTAACGGGGCTGCTGCGGCAGGAGCTTACACTGGAAGTGCTATTTCCTGGTTGATTTGTTATCCACTCATTCATTTGTTCATTCATTCATTCATTCAGCAAGCAGTAACTGAGCACTGGCACTGTAGCAAGCACTTACTTATCTTGAGTGAGTGCAGGGCTCCTACCCTCCCTTGAAAGTGACCGGTTGTGAGGGATGCTTTGGGGAAGCAGGGAGAGGCTCAGAGGAAATTAAAGATGGGTTTCTAGTGTGGGGACCTGTGCGGTGGGGCAAGTGGAGGGCTCATCTGAGTTAGGGACAACTACAGGAAGGGAGTTCTGCTGGTGCAGGAGATGGGGAGGGGGTCAGATGGCCTCCCGTGGGCGCAGGGCTGTCAGGTGCCCTCCCCTCAGGCCCTATCTTCCTCCCAGCAGAACCTACAGTGTCCGCTATTCTGAGTGTTAGCTGCATTTTCTGACAAATGGGAGTGGAGAGAAAATTCTTGGTAATTTCCCTCGTTTTAATTCTCTGTTTTTCAGTATGCTCTGGGTCCTGATGGATTTCTTGCTGATTTTTTAAGAAAAATTCTGCCCGGGCTTTAATCTAAAGGAACGGATGAATACTGCAAATTCAGAAAATTGCAGTATTTCTGAGGACGAGCTTTCGCTTTTCTGCCATTTTCTGTGCTTTGTTTCTTCCTCACCATAAAGGAGACACCACCCAGCCAGTGAAGCCCGAAACAGATCCGGCTCAGCGGAACGTTGAAACCCAACGAGCTTCAAGTGCATTTGAAAGCGCCATTACCTGGACACGTTTTTAGGCTGGAGAAAAGACTGGCTGTCTATTAAGTGACAGTCGGGCTCCTCAGCATCCCGGTCCAGGATGAATAAAGGCACCTGGTTGTGGGTGAGTGGGTGGCAATAGCCACTGCTCTACCCAAACGTGCTACCCAGCATCCATTGCTTCATTTTTGGGACGGCACAGGGGCCGATACTGAATCCAGCTTGCTCTTTGCCTCTGTTGGAGGTGTATGCCTGACTCTCTTGAGTCAGTTGATAATGACGTTGAAGGGGGACCAGAAGCTCAGAGGAGGCGCGTGGTCAGCCAGGAAGGGATGAGTCAGTGACGACCCATGGGCCACAGAGACCGACTCTCACATATTTGGGAGTTGAACTGGACTCTGCGTTAGAGACCTTTGCTGAGCGTTGGGTGGTAGTGTTTAGAATTTGTTTAGAACTGCTGACGATGGCGTGCACGTGGCACAAACGCTTGGGGCTTCTTTCTCCTGTTCCCAGTCCCTCGGTTCCTCTTTGCAGAGCCTGTGCTGCTCATCGCCTAGAAACTTCCCCATAATTAATGTCAACTTTTTGATAATGTAGTTGATGGATATTTCATAAAAATATGTATCCTGTTTCCAGAAGTAAAACTTCACAGAGAAGAGGGGCTGAGTCAAACAGGAGGAAACCAGCCTTTCTGGTCTGTTTTCTCGGGCAAGCACCCCTAGTGCTGTTTGCTCCCCCAGTGTATACTCACACCCTGATTGGAATATCAGTGACTACACAGCCAGCCCTTTGAGACCAGTGCCGAAGATTACTGACTCCACAGCTCTTTAATCTCCATAGCCACACGGTGGCCCGGCCTTCTTACAGCTGAGGAAGCCGGGACTCAAGGCTTAGAGGCCTCGTAGCAAGTAGGGTGTAAAGCTGACTCCCGAGCCAGATCCTTCCCCACCTGCTAGTCATGGGACCTTGGATGAGTGACTGTAAAGTTAGGACTAAATAACGTACTTGTTCTACGTTTTCAGTGAACCACATGGGCCCAAAGCACTTAGGAAGTGGCCAGTCCAAAGTCAACACACTGGACACGGTGGCCTGTCTCAGCCCCACACTTTATCAGAGCTCTCCTCCCTTTTCCTAGACCGGCAGTGCAGTCAGGGTCTGGGGCTCTTCCATCTTGGGATCTTGAAGGCGAGGCAGAGGGCAGTGGGTTGAGTAAGATGCTCGGCTGTGATCCCTGCTGCTTGTGTGACTGCCTCAGCAGGATAGAAGCCAGCCATGTTCCATGCCCTCTGTTGATGCCTTAGGGGGTATCTTATTATGTACTTTTAAGATTTCTCTTTTTTCCTTTCTGTTTTTTTTTCTTCTAAATTTTTCATGGGAGGGGGATTATAACAATTTTTCTTCCTGATTATGAAACTTTTTGTATGAATTGTGTGTGTGTGTGTGTGTGTTGACAAGAAATGTCATTAAAATATTTTAAAAATTACCTTTCTCTCCCAGTGTTTTATGTCAGAGAAAATTATCCTTATGTAATCTAAGTTTCTGTGAGCTGTTAAGGAGGTTGAATACCTCACTAAATGAAAGCTGTCCTTTTAATCTTGATTATTTGAGAAATAGTCCCTATGGGGAAATTAAAAAGTTTCTCCAATTTAGAAGTTCTGAATTGCATTTTTCCCTAGTAAGTTGGCATAGAACTGAGCGAACAATTAATTGTGAGCATAATTGCAGTTCAGAAATGTAAAAAAGAAAAGAAAAGAAAAAAGAAAAAAGTCTAAGGTCCATCACAGATGGTAAAGACAGGCTACATTTTTTTTTTCCTTTTTCTGAGTCAGGGTCCCATTGTGTAGCTCATTGTGTAGACCAGGCTGACATCAAACTCAGAGATCCACCTGCCACTGCTTCCCGGATGCTGGGATCATAAGTGTATGCCACCATGCTAGGTCTAAGGCTGGATAACTTTTAGAAATACTGATGGTTGATTCATGTTCTTGTTGAACCTGAAGACAATCGCTGTTTGGCACAACTTACCCTCGACTTAGGGAGCAAAGAACTGGATCCGTTATTTAGCAGGGTCATGAGAGAATTGCTGGTTTTGTTTTCCATTACTAGAAACTAGTAGATAGTGGTCTCCCAGTGGCTTTGCACAGCACTTTACAGTTACATTTGTCCCTGCAAGGGCATGACTCATTCAGTCCTCTGCGAAGGAGGCAGCGGCAGCGCCGTTAACCTATTCTACAGATCATGAAACAGACCCAAGACGTTTATCTGAGGCCATCTACTTCCCGAAGCAGCGTTTCCCCAGTGAACACCAATTTGCTTGGTGCCTCGTGGTGATATCTACTTTGCAGCCCCATGAGGGGGGAAGAGAGTGAGCAGGCTCCCGGGTGCTGCCCAGATTTCAGTACAGGGTTCCAAAATTGAACGCGCAACTCCACTCAATACTCGTGCCGGGGAACCATGGGTGTTTATTGGCTTCGGGTCTGTGACAGAGTACCCAAGACAGCCATAAGGAGGCCAGGCTTTCAGAGATCTCAGCACTCACCTGGCCTGTGGTTCTGCCCCCATGCTGGCACAGTATCTCATGGGGAGAGCGCATGAAGAAAGCCAGTTTACCTCATGGTTGCTGGGGAAGTAAAGGAGAGGAAAAAAGGGGCTAGGGGCCTGACGCCCCTCTTCCAGGGCTCACCCTGACTTTCTTCCCACTAAACTGCATCTCATAACAGCCCTGCCACCTCTTTGTAGTGACAGGAACGATGTCAATTCTTTTAAAGTTTGTTTATGTTCTATTAGCGTTCCTTGAAAAATCATCAATAGGAACACAGGTTCGAAGCAAGAATTATGGAGAAAATGCTTCTCATGGACTGTCAGCTTCTTTCCTGTCGTGTCTGATTTTGGCGGAAACTCTAGTTTACATTGGGAGCCACAGGAGGCAATCCTTGGAGACACAGTGAGAATCACTAACAGGATTATTATAAAAGTGATTGAAATTGATCTGATAAGCACTAATATAGGTTTTAAAATTCATTTTGGAGGGAAATGTTATACTAGGAACCTGATATCTTAGAGATGGCCGGTAAGTTTGGAAAACCCAATACATCTCTGCTTTCTTTGCTGACTTTGATCCACATTACTAAGCCTCTGCCTCAGTTTGAGACCTTTTTCCTAAGCCTTCCCTAAATGCCTCAAAGGCTTTGGTGGTGCCGGGCTGTGTCTTCTGTTTGCCATGCCACACCTCAGCCCAATCACAGTGTCTTTTCGTTCATATAATGCACAACCTTGTAACAATCGGAATGTAACGGGCCATTTGGTGTAAAGACATGGCTATTTTGATTAAAGCGCAATACCCTCTGTCTGTCACCTGCAGCAGGACGTGTTCTGGAGTGTCCCACTAGGCCGGCGTTTGGTGTGGCTCTTTTTCTGGCCGCTGTGGCCTTGTCCCTGTATTGACTCAGCTGAGTTCTCAACAATCTCTACTTCTTCGTCTTAACCAGAGCCAATGGGAGACTAAGTTCAGGGTAAAACTTGTTCTAATGAGGATTTTTTATTCTTACTTGTTCCCAATTAACCACTCCCCCAACCTCTGCCACCACCAGAAGACCCATGATTTGGGCGTTAATGGCGTCAATTGTCCTTGCTGAGACGTGCCAGGAAGGCAGGGAACTTGTTTGGTTCCTCCCTGGGTCCTGTCATTGAGGAGGCCCCGCAGAGCTCTGAGAGGAAGGCTTTCTGCTTAAGGGATTGAAACCCCCTGTGGGGGAGTTGGAGATGCCCGTGTCAAGGATTTGTGGTCGCAACTAATTCATTCTAGAATGATCCTGGACTTATTTCCATGTTTCTCTTCTGCTTGTGTGTGCCTAGCTAGACACAGGGCCTGGATATTTCTGTCTGGACCCAGGCAGAAAGCTCATTGCCTATGCTTTTCAAAATGCTCAGTCTCACATTCACCAAAGATCTGATTTTTCTCCTGCTTTTCTGTCATTCCGTACCCTAATCATATGTGCAAATGATCCCAGCAAGCTTCTTTGTGATTTCTTCATAGGCTTCGTCTTCCAGAGATTGGATGCAAAGTTAGCAAATGGCCCCTGTTCTTTACTGCTGATAAACCTTAATCTAAGCCACTTCCTGTGTGTGAAGCCTTCCCTGCCATCCTCGGTCTCGCTCTGTGTTTCCTCAGAGTGTTGCCAGCAGGTTGTGCTGTGATGCCTTGCATTTGTTTGTCATATGATGGATACATTTGTTCCCTTTCCCTCCATGTTCTGCACTTGTCAAGCTGATACTTAACTGAAGCTGACTCCGTGTTAGGTCCCGTGTGTTCGGTCCCGTGCTCCGGGTAGAGCTGAGAGGATTCATGCTAATTCCCCAGGCTGTTTTTGTGTTAGGCACCAGTCTCCTCGTTTCATAGGCTAACGGCCAGGCCAGTTTTGAGCGAGGAGCTGCGGTCAGGTTTCTGTGGCTGGTAAATCGCAGAGCTGGGGTTGAATCCTTTGTGGAAGGACAGGGTCTCATTCTGGAGCCCAGGATGGCATCAAGCGCGCGACCCTTCTGAGTCAGCCCCACGAGTGCTGGGATTACAGGCACACACCGCCTGCTCAGCTTGGAGGTTGGGTACTGACCTAGTTAGTTGTGGTGACTCGAGTAGGAATGGCCCCCATAGGCTCATGGAGTGGGATGCTTACTTGGTCTTTAGGGAATGGTGCTACTTGAGAAGGATTAGGATGTGTGACCTTGTTGGAGTAGGTGTGGCCTTGTTGGAGTAGGTGTGGCCTTGTT